GGGGGTCTGGGCGCCGGTGGAGGAGGAGGAGGTCTGGGCGCCGGTGGAGGAGGAGGAGGTCTGGGCGCCGGTGGAGGAGGAGGGGGTCTGGGCGCGGCTGATAGCTTGGCTGTGGTCTACTAGGGGGAATTGTTGGCACTGGCCTTGGTGCCGGGGGAGGTGGTGGAGGTCTAGGTTCCGGGGGAGGTGGTAGAGGCCTAGGTTCCGGGGGAGGTGGTAGAGGCCTAGGTTCCGGGGGAGGTGGTAGAGGCCTAGGTTCCGGGGGAGGTGGTGGAGGCCTAGGTGCCGGGGGAGGCGGCGGAGGTATGGGCGCCGGGGGTAGTGGTGGAAGTGGTGTAGGTACCGGCGGAAGTGGCGGCTGATAGCTCGGTTGTGGTCCACTAGGGGGAATTGTTGGCACTGGTGCAGGAGGAGGGGGCGGTAGGCTCGGAGCTGGTGGAGGCGGCCTTGGTGCAGGAGGAGGGGGTGGTAGGCTCGGAACTTGTGCGGGCGGAATAGGTATTGGCACCGGTGGAGGGGGAGGTGGCCTTGGAGCAGGCGGAAGTGGTTGTGGTACAGTAGGAGGAACTGTTGGCACTGGTGTTGGTATCGGTGGAGGAGGAGGGGGTGGTCTGGGAGCTGGAGGCGGAACTGGCTGCGGTGCTGGCACAGGTGCCGGTGGAGGTGGTGGTGGTGGTGCAGGGCTGGGCGCCGGCGCAGGAGAAGGTGGCGCTGGAGCTGGAGGAAGGGGTTGATAAATTGGTTTAGTAGGAGGTGCTGTTGGGCTTGGTACAAGGGGAGGCAGAGGTGGAGGTGCCGGCGAGGGTGCAGGTCTGGGTGCCGGCGGAGGCGCAGGTCTGGGAATCGGGGGAGGCGCAGGTCTTACAGAAGGAGTATAGTTATTAGGCCTTCTGGGTGGCACTGTTCGAGAAGGAGAAGGAGGGGGAGCAGGATAATGTACTGGCGCTGGTGAGTATGGCCTAGGTGGGGCAGGTGGAGGCTGGTAGCTAGGAATAGGTGGTATGAGTGGTGGTCGATAAAGCGGTGGCGGCGGAGAAGGTGGAGCTGGACGGAAAGCCGGCGGGGGAGGTTGATAGTTGGGAATAGGACGATTTGGTGGCACAGTTGGACTCGGGTGCCGAAACGGCTGTGGAGCGGGCCTAAACGAAGGGCTGTAGTTGTTGGGCCGCTTTGGAGGAACGGTGGGGTAGGATGGCCTGTGAAAATAGTATTTCTGTATTAGTTTCTTAATAAACATGCGACGTGTTATACAAAAAAAATGCAATAAATGTGCTGTGTCACATTTAAAACGAATTTTCTTCAACCAAAAATAGTCTCCTTAGTGTGGGTTCACGATCTTCGCATACAGAGCTGTGTTCAGCGTATTGTAAAAACAGCGGCGAGTAGGCAACGACTTCACAACACGGACGCTTGAAAATCACAAGGGCTTGCAACTTACTTGGATGCATAGCACGAGTCGACATTACACAATTTAAAAATACAACAAACATTACGCTCTCGATATTCGACACAGGACAAAAGCTCTAGAAACACATACAACAAAAAAAAAATTTAAACAGACCAGGCGGGTGCTTTACAAGATAATGGAATCAGATGCACTGTGCTGTAGAGAAACTTTTTTCTTTTCCATTACTTTTATCATCTTACTCAATCGTGTTGTCCTCAACCAAATCTGTCGACTCGCCGGTTGGTTCACTGAAAGGATGAATTTGTCATCTTCAGGATGAGGCAATTCGCACTTCCGGGATCTTCTCAAAAAAACTCAACGCTAAAATAATTTGCATAAAAAAGATTCTTAACACAATATGCCTTGTACATTTGATTGATACATTTTATAACGAACTGCAACTCTACTTTGATTCAATTTTAAGTTTGTTGAAATATCTAAACAGATAAAAAAAAAATTAAGACTAAATAATGAATGTGTTTCTGAAACGAATGCATGTATAACCGAGCTTCGGTAATGCTTATTGTTTAGTTAGATTGCATTGCTATCAAAACAATATATATATATATATATATATATATATGCGTTTATGCGCATACATACAAGCTTTCAATAAAAATCAAGTTTCAGAGTTATTTTTTTGCTTCAATCAGTGATGTTCCGGGTTTTAGGTACTATGAACTAATGTTCTGTATCGCCATTGGATATCCCAAATATGGCAAAACTATTTTTAAATATTCTTAATAAAATTCGCTTTATAGTAATGACTCGTATGCTTTTGTCTGGCATTTTTCTGTCATCGATCCACTTCTACATGGATCTTTGTATCGGTTGCCAATTTAGAACCAAATCAAAAACGGGAGAACGTACACGCACTATCTATTAATACACGCAGTAATCACACCTTTAGACACCAAACTAGATTGTATGTTATATATACATCTCTGTATATATAATATAATGTTTATAATGCTTGAGATTTGCTTTTACTGCCTGCAAGTACGGTTTATGTTTTCAATATTGCTTTCCATATGTTTAGCTATTCGTCGACGCGCCCCATCATCTCTCGCTTGAGACGTAAACCAAATCGGAGCCTCGAATGACCAATAAAATATTCATCTATCAGTAATCCATCGATCTATCCTTAATCCTTTCACCAAACTTTACGCAATTTCATGCAAAATCTCTCCCTATCTCTATTTTAGAGATGCGAATCTCCGATTTACAGAGAGGTTTAAATCGAAACGGAAGTGAGAAATAAACCAATACGGTACAGGTTGCTTGCGAAGCAGTTTAGCAAACGTTTTAACGGGAAAACGGATCGTTTAATCCCGTTAATATGAGTGGCTAGTGACTGTCGAAGGGACGTTGCGGTAGCGGACAGTTTCGCAAGATGCAGCTAGCGTAGTTCAATCAGTCGCGCCACTTACACGATGTTCTGTCTATTAAGTTCATCCTCATTGCCTTTAGACGGCTTGTACCTTGAAGGGAAAAAGGTCTCCTCGCTGAAATACCAGTCCGCATTATCATATCTGTCATAAATGGGATCATGTTAAGTTCAAGGTAAAATGATGAGCAAAAACGACTTTGACGTTTCGCTAACATATGTGTGCATTTCGATTTCAAATTCGACATATCGATAAAGTTTCAAGACCTGTTGTACAGTCTGATATAACGCAAATGCATCTTGTTTGTCAAACTAAACAACAGATAAGGGATAAATAAACACAGACGCTCCGCGCTGTCTCCAGAGCACGCGACAATACACGCTATCGATAAACGCCTCCCACTGTTTACTTAACGACTGCGAATCGATTTACAATGATATGCTTACAATTGTAAAGCCTTATCATCGTTGCTACTCCTTTGTCTGCAGGATTAGGATACAAGCACTAATTGTTGCTTACTGTCAACGGTACCTACTTCATGGGCATAATATATGAAGTTTACAAATCAAACCAGCTCCGTGTAAGGAGGTGACGCGACAGGGTGTTTCGTTTGTTCTGACTCTGTCTTGCCCCTGCTAGATTCTATGAAGGGAATATATGGAAACACACGAACGAATATAAACGGAGAGTTGATCAATATGTACTGTTCACCAGCGTTACGACCGGGGTTATTCGTAGCCAAAGGCCGTTTCGTCTATTCAAAGTATAAACCCCAACTAGTGCTGAGAAACTTTCGATTTTACTCTACTAAAGGCATCATCCCAATGCCCCTGCTATGCCAATTCAACCTAATGAAATGGACAGGGCATTTATTATAAATGGCATTTCGATATTGAAGTATCAAACTATAGGTGTTATTCGTATAGACTCTAAGTGGATACTCTAATCTTTGCGCTTGAACTTCGAACTCAAAGTGTGTACCTGGGATCGTTGGCTGCGGCATATGGTACCGACTGTGAATCTTCCGAGTCGCGAATGTGGTTTCTCCACCAATCTACCCACCAATTTCCGGCATCGCGAGTACCCAATTTTGTGGCGCTGCGCTTCTGTAGATGATGCGCATGGGTAACGATTTCATTATATTGTTGAAGACCTATCGGGTCTATGCGAATCGGGTACAGTTGAAGTTCTGCTGAAGCGCTTTGGAGCGCATACGCTGCCAATACCGCCAGGAGCCATGACTGTAAAACATAAAAGGCATTCAGATTAATATGGCTGTTTTAGGTATTTCAGCGCTATCGTTAGACCTATAAGTTGAGCGTTGTTAAAAACTGTGAGTACATCGATTGTTTGCATTGTGTCATGTATTACGTTCAGTATCTATAATGAATAGTCAAAATATATTTTTCATTTCTAAAGTGACATGATTAGATCATAACTAAAGACAGAGTTTCACTCCAGAGTACTTAATTAAACCACCTACATTTGAACGGAGCAGTCATTTCCCAAAGTATTCATTGGATTAGTTTTCAGAGCAAATTTGAAAATTTATCATTGCGAGTTCGTCGAACGATTGTTGGTAAGGTGGAGTAATAGGAACCCTACTCTATATGTCTACGATTCATCGGTTTACCGATATGATATACGCAAAAAGAGTGTTCCGGAACTCTTTTCTTATTCGTTTTCTTCTCAACGCTGACAAGGTTAAACAGGCCATCTAAGGTAGACGCTTAGTCAGAAATCACCTACTAGTACGAGAAGAGGGAAAAGTCGACAATAGTACACTAATTCCACCTGAGCTGGAGAGATCTGAGTTTCTAGCATTTATTGCTATGTTTTTCGGCCATTATAAAAGTGAAAACCATCTGTTTGCCAAGAGAACTAGTCACGGCAAATTGCATTTTCGCTCAGTTCCCACGCATTTCAGTCTCAACTGATATAACTGTAGCCGCTCGTGTTAGTTCTGACCGCAATCAAAGCAACGTTACTATAGCATCGCCCGCGGCTTTCAATACAAATCTTGCAGGAACTTTGACTATGTTTTTAAATGAAAACGTACCCTTTTTCCTTATAGCTTTAATTTATCATAGATCGAACAATGCTCCACTATAAATCGTCCAAGTACTAACTGAATAAGGGTGTCGAGTTGTTACGCGCGATCATGCCTATATTAGGAATTACTTCAGTTGGTAACTAGATTTTTCTTCTTTGTGCACTCGTCGCTTTTGATGGTTTCTGTTTTTTGACGCTCCGGTTGTGCACGCCTTTCACGTGTGTCGCTGTCACAGAATTTGGTTATACTGGTATTAATGTACGATAGTTTTGGCCTTTGAGCGGGATCGGTAAAGAAATCATATGGATTTCATTTGTTTGAAGTAGGAAGCACTAGAGAAAATTTAAGCTTAGAGCAAAATGTTTCAATGCTTCAGAGTAAGGACTAAACACTTACTCGTCCAATATCAAAAAGTTAATATACAAATGTTTTTACGAAAAAAATCACGTCAACTTATTTCGGGTAGTATCTGATATAACGATTTAAAACTGCTCTTATTATAAGATTTTATTCTATTGATACATGGCCATTTTTTATCCAGCTGACGAATGTGTTGAAGGCTATAATCTTAGCTGTCGTTAAGGCTGGACCAATGTGCATATTTATCACTTTCAGAGAAAAAATTTTGTCTAAGATTCAGAAGATTTAATTGAAGTACTTTTGGTAATCTCAGGGTAGCTGAAATAAATTAGGAACAATCTTTTGACATGGCAACAGATTCATGTTGACTGTACAAAGGATTTTTAAAGCTTCCTTCATTTTTCGGAAATAACCATTTCCTTAGTGCAGAGGTTTATCTGATTTCTCACCTTCCAGCCCCATCATCATCATCCGATATCTGCAATAATTAATGAAGTCCATAATTTGCTTTTCTCCTCCTTTTTGCCGAGCAACTCTCATCACGTATAGTGATTCTCATTTGGCTTGTCGGGGCCGTCTTCGTTGAATATGTGAACACAAACATACAATGTATACATGTATCAGCAAGCGTATGTATACTTCACTACTATTTCGTTCGCAGGGCCAGGGGAAGGCAGACGTCAGAGGGCAAACGTCTTGACTATGGGAGCGACAGCGTTCACACGCCGACGTCTGTGCATCTGAGCCCCGCGATTTCCCTGTTCCACCGGCTCTTCTAATCGTTCAATTAGATTTAACTAACGGCAACATTCTCAACGTTGGATCGGTCTTTGTTTCGTAGGAAATCAAAGTGTTGCGAATCAAGCGCGTTGTCATTTCATAGATGCGCTTCTCCCCCTAAGACACGACATAGTAAGAGGAAAGGAAATATAGGGATCCCACGAGTGACCACAGGCCGACAGTACGAAATGACACTGCAAAAAATAGCAACAGATAACGATATCCATACATAATAACGACGGAGGAAGGGATTGCGAGGCGTCTCAAGGCAGCTGGAATACTTAATGTAATAATACTTTTAACGCTAATCAACAGAAGTTAGATAAAGCTGGATCACATTACGAATTAAAGTTTCGACTAGCATTAGAACTTCACAGCGATACTAATACCCATGCATACACTTTTTATCTATGAGACAACAGAACTCTCCTATCTTCACGCACCTTTTCTCAATGGATAAATTCAAAGCTTGCAATTATCAAACTCGAGCAGAGCTATTAAAAAAGATATATAAAAACCAGCTTTGCAATTAGCCCCTACATCCTTATGTATAAGTTGAACCGTTCCCTGCAAACTTCGGTGTAAGTGGAATAAGTTTCTCCTTTATTCATGCAGGTATAGTATTCTATTCTCAGAGTGCTGTTCTCGTCACCATCTGACTCTCTACTCTACTGATACTCTAAGAGGATGACACTAACCTTCAGAGGCCAGATCTTCATTTGACAGTTAGCAACAATTCATATCTAGATATTATGCGCTGATAGAGTCACTCGTGTATACGTTGGCAGACTAAATAGAACCAAGAAAAGTTCATTCGTATAAAAGTACATCCGTACATTTCGTTCAATGTCTTTGTCAATGTCGATAAATCTTCAGTGTCGACAAATAATAATACCCTGGCTCCCAATACGATGATTTTTCTTGTCTAAATTGCCATTTGACAGTCATCCTTTTTTAGCGTATAATCAGTGGCTTCTATGACGATATTGTCAACGAGGTGTTCCTAGTTATGGATTGAGTTACGACTATATATAATGTATTGTTCTATTGGAACGGCGAAGCAAAGCAAAGCTTGAATCAAATTATCTTAGCCTTGGAATAAATAGAGTATACTTCATTGATAGCCATTTCCACAAGGTCGAAGTGGTTGCACTTCTCCATCCATGTATATACGGTCGTTTACCTTACTAATCGCTCAGATTAGTAAGCCTAAATAATGCTGTTCCATAGTAAATCTGGAGCCCAATAAAATTTCGAATATTTCTGCATCGGGATAATTAATGCCACCAAATAGAAGTATGCAGAAACTGTATGATGCTCATTGCCGATTTAAATCGATCGAGTTGAATCGATCGTTCCGGTAGACTTCGCGATGTTCCATTAGGTCAATAACCTGTCTACGAGGCTATACAGAACATAATGTTATAACAATCGTCTTATTTAGAGCATTTTCTTAACGCAGTGCCGTGATTAAAAACTATAGCCTTACGCTTTCAATAATCATATAAGCGCCTCGTATCTGAACTCATCTATTTCGTAGCGCGTTGAACACGTCGCTTCTCGTCCGATCACCAAATAAATACACACAAAAAAAAAACGTCGGACCTGCTTCGCGGCCGCTAAATGCTAGTACAATCTACGAATTGCCGTCCTTTCAATGGCTACAACGCTTTCTATGATTATGATCATTGCAATCGAGTGAAAACGGTTTATAAGCGGCGTTCTATTTAGTCAGCCCCCGCCGCCCGATTAAGTCGCGTTAGTCGCGCCGAGAACAGGGTGAAGGTACGCATAATCGTAATGCGAGTTGCTAACAGCCCCCAGTGGAGACGACAATCACTCCTGTTCCATTCAGCGTTGAAGCTTCCATATATGCAGCCACTAAACAGCCTCTATCTTCGAACTAAGCCACGTGAAGCTTAGAGGATACACCTCTGGACCGATTAACCGCAAATGACCAGAGAAGTCTTCTATATTAAGCCTAGTCAAACGAATGCTGCCTCTTAGGTTTACTGTACCAGTTGTGTGAAGAAAAATACCATTCACTGTTATCGGGTCTAAATACGCGATCGTACATGTCTGAATATTCTGCAGGCTTCTTCATAATAGGCTACAACAAATGAACTATCTGGCACGCGAACTGACGACTATCGATCGTCGAACCTAATCGTTCCGTGTGTGTATCCGAATTCAGGTAGGCATGACTTATGGTAGCTTTGTACAGTTTAACTTTTTCTGAATATTGTACATAAGTAAACAAATATTACATTGAGGATTGCTATGCGCTAATCCGTTCTTCTTCTCTCGATATCAGAGGTGGTTGACCAGCAAAGGCGCCGCTTTTCAAAGCACTAAATGATGCTTATATATCCTCATCTGGGCAAGTACAGTGCCCAGATGCAAATTGGCTCTGGGCTTAGAAGACGTAAGGCAGCGACGCTAACAACGATTGTCACACGCGCTTGATGTCATTTACAGGCGAACTTGTGAAACATCGGATCCGGTAGCCGAGGGCCTCCTCGATATCAAGAAGAGAACTTCGTGTGTAGTGCCAGGCGGGCATGACGATAAGGGAAATTGTTATGCGTGATAGGACGGAGGGAGGGAGGAAGGGAGGGAAGGTGAGCAGGGTAAACAAAAGCAGGGGCAGTTCTTCGATTCTGGATTCCCTTTCATCTGACAGTGTCTATATTAGTGGCAGTGCTGTAGTGGCGGGCAGGTGGTAACGAAAATGGCAAAGGATAAGAGAAGACTGTACAACTGCACTACCACCAGCACATCACTCTGATGATGATGCCGCCGTTATGGCCACTTAAGTGAACTAGACTAACAATGGATAGCAACAAAGTCTTTTAACAACGTTTCAATAGCGATACCGTTATGACAACTTAACAACTGCTGAAACCTGTCTCTGCTGGGTGACCATTGAAGTTCTACGGACCATGCTATTAACGACAATACTGGTGATCGGCGGCTAGATCGCGAGAAAACAGTCGGGATCTTTGTCAGCTTTATTGTAGAAATGTAAGTAAAAGATGCTTTTATATA